AAAAATGGACCCCAATAAAACCTCTTAATGCAGAAACTTTAGAGAGTTACCTGGGCTAGTGGTTACCTCCATGCCTGTTAATTACACATTGGTACCAAAAGAGGAACACATCCTGACTCTGTCGGGAGAAAAGAGTAAAAGCTCGGTGTTTGGTCCTTCTGCTGGACACTGCCCTGATTGCTTCTTCCCTTGGCTGATTTTAATACGTATCTTTTTCCTGATAATAAACCCCATAGCCAGGAGAATAATAACAACAGCTTTCAGTGAGTTCTGTAAGTCCCAGCAAATCATCAAGCCAGAGAATGAGTCCATGAACTCTCACACCTGCAGTTGGTGCCAGAATTGAGGGTGGTTTGGGGGTTTGCGCCTTCTAACTTTGTGCTTGGCCCAAACTCCTTATAAGAATTAGGGCAATAAGTGCAAACTCTAAGCAGGTAAGAATCTTACCTATTTCATCCACTTTTATGTACTTGGTAGATAACATAGTACCTGGCATATGGTAGCATTACAGGAAATACACGTTGAATGAATATTAGGTTTATTGAGATTGACTTTGAGGACAAGCCAGCATTTGTACAGTGAGTTGTAGGAATAAAGCCAATAAAGCTTTGATTATATAGTTAATTGTCCAACTACTGTATTAAATTTGTTCTGCCTATTTTGGAATCAGCTATTCTTTAAAATTCAGTAGTCTTTAGTGAGAAATCTTTGCCAGCGAATGTGCTTAAGGCTGTGTTTGGGGGAACTGTGTTGCCCAGATAGCAAAGGCAAATATCATATAGGTCCTGTCCACCGGCAAAATAAAATCCAACTGCTGTGATATTAAAGCAGAAATACCATCTAATTCTCTTTTGAAAATGGATAATGGAGAGAGAGGCTACATATCAGGCAACATTTGAGTTGAGCTTTAGGAAGATTATGGTTTACACAGGTACACAACCAGCAGAAAAGACAGATACAGCAGCATCAGGGACGCCACCATAGTAAACACTAGGTTTATTTTGTATATATCCTATTATATAGTACACGTCTTACAATAATTATCTAAAATAGTATGCCATCAATTTTCTAACCACAGTTATCTAGCTTTATAATTTTATACCAGATGATGCATATCTACAATTTTTTTATTTATCCAGATTCAGTACAAATTGCTTAAATATAAAAAGATACCAATGTGAGTTAATTTATGGAGGACAATGGAGAAAGGAGACTTGCTTGGGCTTTGCTCTGTCTATATAACCTGTTCAAACTTGAAATTCAATATTCTTCAATTATTTTCAAATTTTCAGCACAAGAGACTGGAAATTATAATAAAAAAATAAATGTATATGGGCTAAGAAAAATATTTGTCCACTTAGAATTTCATATCTATTGCAACTCAAGAGTAAAAGAGGAAGACATTTTCATGGCTACCAAGACAAATGAATTCACCATCCACAGACCCCTCTATACCTGAAATGATTAAAGATTTAGTTTAGAAGTTAGACCACATTGGATACACATACACATGCAAACAAAAATTATATGCATAGAAATTACCCGAAAGATTGGTAAATTCAGTGACTAGCTATAAAATAACTGATTGTGCGTATGATTTTATTTTAAAGTGTAACGAATCAAACTGGTGAGAAGGTCGCAGGATTTACTAGCAAGAAAACATCCTAAGGCCAGGAGCTGTTTGGAAGGAAGACAGAAACACTAAAAATAGTTCGCGAACTATGTAACTATTTTAAAAAGAATAACCAATAAAGGAATAAAACCATAGTTTACATTAATAAGCCAGCAGAAGAATTTAAAAAATAGAAAAAACTTCAATAAAGCAACAGAAATTTTAAAGAAAGAGAATCAAAAGTAGATTTTAAAAATACAAACTATTATTACGGTAAGCACACATTCACATATACCAATAACCTCATCAAATATACACAGATTAAACTCACTTACGGAAACAGATGTTTCAGAATGGATTTTAGAAACTATGGCTCTACCTTACCTAACACTCACACCGGCAGTCTCCTGGTGAAAGAGGAAAAATCAAAAGCCACAAGGGACTTCATTCCAAGCTTATATAGGAAGAGAGCCAAGGAACTGACGAGATAAATGACAGCTTTGTGAACTTCTCCTGGATTCCAAAGTAGCTTCTTTAAGGCCTTTGCATTTGCTCCAGCCTCTCTGCTCTCCCTCTATGTCCCTAGACGAAGCCCTCAGTGGTGTGCCCAGCTACTGCTTTTCAAAGGACTTCCAGCCTTAATACTGTATCCCAAAGCACCTCAGGAAAGCCCAGGTTAGCAGCAGGTGTTCAACTCACCAGGAGAAAGCATCACGATTCTTGGTTTGAGCAAGTCTGATTTAAGAGGACAGAACTGAAAAGCTAGGTACCCCAAACAGGTAACTCAATTGCTCAGCCCCACACTAATAAAAGATCCTGCTAAAAAAATTCTCTAAAGTTTAAGAGTAAAAAGTTTCTTAACCTCTCCTACCAAGCTTCCCCCACCTGCTCTCAGCTTAACCTCATTCAATTCTAAGCAAGAAAGACAGAAACAATGCATCTCCATAAAACCTCCAGAGGATGAAACCAACCCCCAACACAGACACACCACGCACACACACTGCGCACACAGACACACCTGCGTATGCACTCCTGCACAATTATTTCCAGCCTACAATACTGTTGACAAACTTTGTGTGTTTTTCCTCTTCCTGGGCCTGTAGAAATCAACTCTAGTCCAAAGATCTGAATTCCATAGTTCTTATAGAATTACAACCTGAATTATGACCTTTTAAATATAATTAATGCAGTCTACCTTTAACTGCTTATTTAATGACTGTTTAAATCTTTAAAGTAATACTACCCTAAAATAAACTCCATGCTTTAACTTTTCTTTAAAGGAAAGGGTTTTTTTCCTTAAAAAAAAAAAGTTACTATAATTATTCAAAACAACAGTTTGTTACCTTTCCTTCATATTTTAATTTCTACATTTAAAATGGACTCACCCTAACTGGACATTAAGAACTGTTAAAACTATGACAGACCAAGAATGAAAGCCCAGTATTTTGACTAAAATTGTATTTAAATATTATTTTAAGCAGAAACTCTTGAAAAATGCATATGTACACATAGGACATATAATTGTGTATTTAAATCAAAATAAATTCAACAGTAAAATGGTAACTTTAAGAGTTCTCATACAGGCCAGGCAAGGTGGTTCACACATGTAATCTCAGCACTTTGGGAGGCCGGGGTGGGTGGATTGCCTGAGCTCACTAGTTAGAGACCAGCCTGAGCAAGAGCGAGACCTCACGTCTAAAAAATATAGCTGGGCGTTGTGACAGGCGTCTGTAGTCCCAGCTACTCAGGAGGCTGAGGCAAGAGAATCATTTGAGCCCAAGAGTTTGAGGTTGCTGTGAGCTATGACGCTACAGCACTCTACCGAGGGCAACAAAGTGAGACTCTGTCTCCAAAAACAAAATAAAATTCTAATATAAATGGCAGGTGTATTACTAATAAGAAAGAATAATGTACCTTTGGGGACCAAGGGAATTCTTGCTCTTTGCCCTCTGAAGGTTCACCAAAAATCAACTGACAAAAGGAGATTGATAGGAATAAAGGCAGACAAACCTAACAACGTGCACAGCGGGGAGAATGACTTCAGACCGTGCAATACAAATGGTTATGCCCCCTTCTAGGGGGGAGGGAGATGGAAACAATGTACGATTTGGGGAGAGCAGTATTTTTAGAGGCACATGGAGTAGGCAATGGTTTGTGACAATAGGCTATTCAGAAAGACTTCAGTCTTTCCTCAAAAGCTATGAGTTCAGTTCATGAAAACTCAAGGAAGGGACCTGAGATCATCGTTTTCTTTTTTGACAGATCCAAACTCTAGGCCAATACGGGAACTCCATCCTGTGCTTTGGGACAGACAAAGGACTGTCCCATTTCGGGGTATCAGTTTCTGAGCCCCACTACACGAGAGATTTGCATAATTGAACAATGAAAGAGCCTAATAAAATAGCCAATAACTAATTTAAAATCCAGTAGGCCTACACGAACTTCCTAAGTAACCTTGTGTTATTTACTGAGGTCATAGAAAGTACGGGTGGAAATCTGCAGCCATGATTTTCAAGAAATTTTGTTGACCAACTATAAATAGCCAACTCTCTTGTGAGAAAGCAGAAATAAATTGTATATATGTATAAATACAGACAAACACAACATTCCCTGCAGCCACATTCTCTCAATGCATAAATTATTACCTTGGGAGTGAGACTGGCATCAAAACAGTGTTAACTACTCGAAATTATGTTATAGCCACTGATGCCACCTAATTTTACCAGTTTGGGAACTGAAAAGGGATATTAGACAGCATGGTGTCCACCACCCTCCTTTTAAAGGTTCAGAAATAAAGGCAAAGAGGGGATGTGATTTACCCAAAGAGACATCTAGATAGTAATTGAAACGCAAATCAAGCCCACCATCTCTGCCTCCAATCTAGTTTATATTGCCTTGGAATTAAACACTTACTCTGACTCTGACACATGAGGAACAAACAAAACCATACTCTCCATCTTCTGAAAGGTTGTTTTTTCTCCACAACAGGACAGAAAAGACTCCCTTCAATTTGTCTATGGAAGAATTTCCATTCTCAAGCTACTCCCTGTACTTGAAGGAGAAGCAACAAGAGAAAGGGAAAACGTCTTATGCCTTGAACTAAACAGAAAGGAAAAATTCGAAAGAGAGACTACTCTGGAGAAGTGGAAGCGAGACACAGAGAATGCATATTGCGTGGAAAGTAACCGGCTTCTTCTCATTTAGCAAGGCATGATCTTTAATCCTCATCATAACTGAACAGCTGAATCAGAAAATATAAAATGACTTCAACTTCCAATTTGCTTCCCTAAAATAGCGGTTAGTCTGTGAACTCTTTATGGCCATTTTTGCAGTTTACACACACACACACACACACACACACACACACACACACAAATAAGGCACTTACTGAACTGTAGAGATAGCCTTCACCATTCATGGCCACATAGAGGCTGGCCTTCACCCCTTGGATGGCCACCACACGGAGGCCCACAGGAATTAGATTGAAGAGGGCTGCAGGGGTTAAAAAGAAGACAGAGAAGAATAATTAGTGACCTCTTGAATAAGTCATGTTGCTTCTTACAACGATTCTTCTGAGAATTAAAACCTATTAATAGAAAGTGGTAGGGAAAAGGAAAGAGAAAGAGAGAAAGACAGAGAGGTCTGGAAATGAGGATAACTGACGTCTTGGCTCTGTCCCACCACTGATTGCCTGTGTAAGTTCAGGTCAATTACATAGACACCCGTGTGATAAAGAGGTTAGATGAGAAGGTCTGGAAGGGCCCCTGGATCTGAGAGCCCAACATCCTTGATTCTCAAAATTAACAGAAACAGTGTAACATAAGACGTTTTTTTCCTAACAATTAAATAATTGGGATCAAAAAATTCTCAACAGTCAAAAACATATTTGTAGTTATAAGGAGTAATAAAATATGATTTCTGAAATATATATCAGAACTTTCTGTTTTCAGACTTTTCCCTGTGGTTCTGAACACTGGAGAAAGTGGAAGACTTTCCACGTTAAACATGGAAGATGAAGGGAAAAATCACTGACTCGCTGGCTGTAATACCAAGGACAGCACTTTTCTCTTGATATTTACAGGTTTTCACGTGTAAACAACGATAGATGAATAGATGACTGACATATAGCTTAAACTACAATGATATATTTTATAGATGTCTATGTAAAACCATTAAAAATTACTTTGGCAAATTTAATTCAACACACTAGGATGAAATGAGAACATTGGCTTGTTGTCTTTAAGTATGTATTTTAGTTGCCCGTCACTCAAAATACTCAACCGTCTGTAATTTCCACTTGGAAAAGGATTTCAGACGTCAGAAAAAAGATAAAGAAGAAGAAGAAAAACAAGATAATCTAATTTTCTTCTGACGATGTATTTCTATAATTATGTATCTTTGGCACTATTCCAGTTACTTTTGAGATTTCAAAGTGAGCATAAGCAGCAAACATTGCCTTTATCCTAAAACAATTTACACTATATATGGAAGAAAAGCATTCATATAATTAGACCCCGTACATGGCAACATGGCTATAAATTAAATCTCTCATGACTACATGCATAAGAGAATATCTCTGCAGTTCACTTTTATATTCTGACTCAAATGTTCTTATCTATCTTTTCCACTTATAAAATCTCTATCAGTTCTTACCTTGTCCGTTTTTGATATAAGATACACGTAAATTAACCCAAGGGCTACTTTTACTTAGGAATGCTTCCATGATGGGGGCTCCTCTCAATCTGGGATTGTAAGCCAAACATGCACACACACCTCTGCACACATAGTATTTGTCTTTCAGTCAACTGTTTAGCTGAGAGTTGTAGAGGCTCAGTCAAGCCTTAGACACTAAGTTCACTACAGCCAGATCCAATTCCTAGCAGTTGACATTGGATCACTCTCTTTCAAACCTGTTTCCTCATTTGTCATGAAAATTGAGACTAAATCTTAATGCAGAGAGACTGCACAGCTTACGTAATAATAGTCATTCAATAAATGGTAAGCATTATTTTAAAAAATATCTTAATAGTTGCTTACGGATCATTGGCTCAATTCAGACCTGAACTAGTTTTAGTTCTCCTGTATTCCTGCCATTGTCCTGGTGCTACTAAAATAACTTAAGAAATACAAAACCTTAAAGTCTAGTTGGAGAAAAAAAAAAATCTAAGACATATGGAATAATCTGATACAGTGTATAATTTACTTCTATAATTAAATGTAATATATGCATTCTATATATATTCTCTATGTTACAGAAGTTCAGGAAAATGGAAGATCCGTGTGGCCCGAAGTGCCTCACACAGAAAATGGAGCCTACCTTGGCACTCAAAGAAGCGGCGGCGGAAGTTAAGAAAGTCAACAGGAGAAGAACATTTTATTGGGGCGGCAAGTTAGGTGGTTTTGCAGAGTAACGTGTGTATGCAGGAAGGGAATGGGAGATCAGAGGATTTGATTTATACTGGGGCAAAATGAGAAAGAATACCAGGTAAACAAAGTAAGGATACATGAGGATTCGAGTCTGTCACTCGAATCTGAGAGATCTAGTCTTTACTAAATGGGCAACAAGACACGTGGCATAGAAAGATTAGATTATAAGACTGTTAGATGTTTCCAGACAACATCGTTTCTGTCTGCACCTCTCAGTTACGTGGCTTTGAGCTATATACATTTAACCTCACTTCCTTAGTTTTTCCATCTTTAAAATGGGCATAACAATCCTTTCTGCACGAAGTTGATAGAAGAATCAAATGCATTATTGTGTTCCTGAAAGTGATTCATAAACACAGATGTATCTCTCTGTATAATAATTATTTGTCATTAATGCTTGATCCCTCTGCTTGTCAAATAAGGTTACTGTGGGACTGATATAAAAATAGTCATATTGCCTCAGCAATATTTTTTTAATTTACTTTTTACAGCTTGCTTAATGCTTTAAAAGATAATGCTTCATATTTGTGCAATATTTAATTTTCCAAGTGCTGATAAATTCATCAGATGGATTTGATCCTCAATCATAAACGCTATGAACAATTTAGGACAGAATGACTACCTCAATTTTTAGAAGGACAAACAAATTTCAGCCAAGTAACCTACGAGAAACTGCATCTGAACAAAGGCTTCCTACCTCTCTAATACAGTTTTCTGTCCAAAATAGTATATTTCCTCCTATTGTTCTTCTTTGTGTGTGTGTGTGTGTGTGTGTGACAGCATCTCAGCCTGTTGCTAAGGCTAGAGTGCCATGGTGTTGGCCTAGCTCACAGTAAATTCTAATTCCTGGATTCAAGAGATCCTCCTGCTTCTGCCTCCTGAATAGCTAGGACTATAAGCACCCACCATGAAGCCTGGGTAATTTTTTCTATTTTTAGTGGAGGCAGAGGTCTCGCTCTTGCTCAGGCTGGTCTCGAACTCCTGAGCTCCAGGGATCCACCCACTTCAGCCTCCCAGAGTGCTAGGATTACAGGTGTGAGTCACAGCGCCCAGCCTCCTTTTGTTCTCTTAGGTTTAATTTCCCCAACACTATTCTTAACTTCTTGCAAACTAATAGATGCTTTAGCTGAATCTCCCTGCACAGCCTGCATTTAGATGTAGCTCCTAGGGTTTCAGTGCTGGATAATGACCTGTAGGCCAGCGGGTCCACACACTTGAAGAACCCTTCCTTAAAGACAGCTTCTAGGTGTCCTTTGTCCCTCTGCCCAACCCTGTCCCTTATTGCTGCCTGGGCAGGTATATGGTAGCTGGATGATCTCAGATGGTGAAAACCAGGGCTACTCCCTAGTGACCAGAAGCAGGTGAGCTGGAAGGAGCTGGGTCCCTGAGAACTTAGTGAGCAGAGCCACCCATCCAGCATGCAGAGACGTAGGCCTGGCTCTCATGTGAAAAAATGAGTCCTTGTTACTTCAGTCTGTGCAATGCAGAGCCAATGTAATCCTAACCAGTACAGACTGCTAATGACAGCAGAATGAATATGCAAAGTCTGAACTAAATGCAAGGTACTTATACACTGTAAATAACAGCAGCTACCGGAAAATGCATGTATCAAGTTCAGTGGCAATTCTTGTGAGAAGGACTAATGAAATCCCAAATTGTGCATAATGTCTTTGTAAAGTAAAGACTTCCCAGGATAAGTGCTAATAACATTAGTTCATGTAGCTGGAACAGGAGAAAAAAACAACCATAAAGCTTTTCTTATGTGAGAAGTGAGAGAAAACCGCTGAAGCTAGACAGAGACAAAAACAAGAAATCTGTGTGAATGTTTCATATGAACCACAAGGGGATGATGGCTTTTAGATGGTATGTTCTGGGAGGGTTACCAGGTCCATTAAAAAAACAATCAGTAAACAATTTGAAATAAGATTTTTTTATAGGTAAAAGCTTCCAAAGCATTCTCTTTTTAAGAGCACTCATCTGCCTCCTAAAATCTCCAAAAGTGGCAAGTGACTTACCCTTATCAATTATTTACCGTCAGTGTAGTGTCCTTCGCTGCCAGCTCACAGAAGCCCTTTGTTTCTCAGTGATAATTTCTCCTTAGTCTCCAGTCTCCAACTCAAAGCCCTTGCCCTAACTCATCTATAACTGAGATACTGGCTTCCACCCATTCGTCAAGTCCCCTGCAAGTGATTCATGTCGTTTCCTTGCTTGCAAACTGTGCTGATTCTTCCCTGTCTCCACTGTCCTTTACAACCTGGCTCCAGTCCACATCTCCAGCTTATCATCTGTCACCCCTTCCATCTACTGTAACCAGCTTCATAGAGCGTTTTGCCATTTCCTAACTTCCCCCTTGATCTTTAGGCTAGAGTTTGTCCTCGTTTGGTCTCTCTTTTTAGAAAACCTATCTTCCAAACGAATGTAGCCAACCCTCTTTACCCTTTAAGGCCTGCTTTATTGAACTCCCTCCCTACGTCTTGGCCAAACCCTTTAGAGATAGTAATTTCCTTTTCCAGAATCGCTTATTTCACGTGCCTATCTCTGTGACAGCATTCACAACATGGTTCTAGAGTTATTTGTCTCCATCCCTATTAACACAAGCTTCTTGAGGGTAGTCTCTGCAACTTGTAGTATAGTTAGATATATAATACACAGTATATATTAAATAACTGCTATTGGTTATAAGGGCCACGAAAAGACATTACTTTCAGGAATTTATGTTTCCTTACTGGAATGATATTCAATGTTACGTGTACAACACACATTTCTGCTACGTGGCACTTTCACTTTAACATATTTATTTGCTGCTTTTAATTAATATGATTTTCCTCCTCCTACTTTCTAAAATCCATGATTTTGCTAAGTTAGTTCCCTCCGCTTGGAATGTCATTCTCCCTCTATCTTCACCCTGAAATCCCTGACACATTTAAAATGACACACCAAATACCAAGTGCTTTCTTTCATTTCTTAGCTGATTTATTCCTGGATCTAGATTATATTTATCACAAGTTATAATTTTATTCCTTTGAAATATCTTGTTTTCTCTCCCAACCACAACTAGACTGTAA